CCACTCAATAATTTCTCATACTAAATTCTACATAATTTGATGCAGTTGATATTATTTTATTATCTCACATTTTCTGTTCTACACCTTCTGCAACCTTGAAATCTCTTGAATTTTGATTGAAATTTATATTCACTGCAGATGCAATCACTTTGATCATTCTGATCATTCTGAAATGAAAATATGATTTCTACAGATGATTTTCAATTCTTTAATACTTCTTTTAATTAAATTGATTGATTTCTTTATTAGATAGTATAAAAACAAATGTCAAGTAAAAGTGAGATATCTGTCAATGCATTTTTAGCAAACATTTCATCTTTAAAAAGTATTAAATTTAAATTTATGAAATTTTCACATCATTTTTCAACTATCAATTTGCTCAATATTGATCTGCAGAATTCATACACTCTATACTTTCTTTATATTTCAGAGTCTGATATTTAAAATATTGCCTGTTCTATCAATATCTATACAGAGATTTAAATATCAAAGAACTCAATCATCAATTTTTAAAATTGACAATCAATCACTTCTGCAGAAATCAAAGTATTTCTTAAACAGATTATCTATATAAGAGTACATAAATCTTCAGCAATTGAAGATTATTGAAATAAAAATGATACTCAGAAACCACTTCATTTATCAAGATTTTATCTGAGATAAAAACAATTTGAACAGTTCAAGAGATATATTCAGATATTCAATTTTTGCAGACTGAAATTTTTCTTCATACAGAAGCTAGAGTCTTTATACTTCAACTTTCATACAATATATTAAAAATATTACAATTCAGATTCAAATCATTATATTGATGAGATGGTGATTTGGTTCTTTAAACAATTCAAATACACAGTTAAAATGCCTCAGAAATCAATCAAGTAGAGATATAAAATCTTTAAATTAAAAGAACAGAGTTATTTTTGAATTTTTTTTCTTATTTTATAATAATCTCTGTATAAGTGCAATGTTTTGTACTTCAAAATTAATCAAGATTGAATTTCTTGTGATGAAATTGATTGAGCAGCTGTCAGTATTTTTGCAGAGCTCTGAGAAGCAGAGTTTTTTACAACACTCTGAGCTGTTGCAGCACTCTGAGCAGTATGTATGTATGTATGTATAGGTTTAACGTCCCGGAGAAAACACGGGCAGCGCCCGTGTTTCAGAAGCCTCCCGAAGGGCATGGAGACGTGCTACGCTGGAGAGATTTCTATGTACACAGAGAGAGAAAACAGAATCCAGGTGGCAACTCTTGAGAAGACTCAGCTCATTGCAAAGGATTTTTCTGAGCTGCGCATCCACTTCTGGCCCGACGTATGGCCATTCATGGTGGGGCTATAGTGTGGTTCCCTGAGGGGACCGCCGCTGCCGTGCCTGGAAGGCTTTATAGTGAGCAGAGAGGGATACCTCTCTCAGTTGATCAGAAAGCTGTCTGTGCTTCTAACATCAGAAGAAAGACAGACAAGATAAATAATGAAGGAGAGAGCACTGAAGAAGGAAATGACAGGAAAAGAGCAGAGAATGACAGAGAGAGCAAAGAAAAGAAGGAAGAAGAAGTATTTGAGCCGATAGAGACAAGGGCAAACGAGAGGAAAACAAAGCAGAGCACGCGTAGATACAATGCCGGCAGTCAAAACCATATCAGCTGAGTCAGATACGTAGGCTGTACTGATTACACCACAGCCAATTGAGACAGATGAGCCTAGTTGTGCTATCTGTACTGTCTGCATAGACTGTGATGTCCCTGGCAGTTGCACTAGCTACCGTGGGTGTACTCAGCAGGCCGGCCTCGTGGAACTGCTGCGGGGGTTGTCATACTATGTGTAAAAAATATATCCACCTTGCAATCTTCACTCAAACTAGATCATCAATCTTTGAGTCTTTTTCAAATAATTGATATATGCAGTACACAGATGTACAAACTGAAGCTTACATCATAATATAAAGAAATTTATTCCATGTTTCACATTTCTCTTTTCAAATCATATTACATGCGCGACGGACAGATCTCACAGGCAGAACTGATAATTATAAACATGTAGAAGAAATGAAAAGTTGAAGTTATATTGAATAAATATCAGTATTATAATCAAATGCAATATTTTTGTTACAAACCTACGGCACAACCCTGAGAGCCATTGAACAAGGAACGACTAAATGGTAGAGGGCATGTAAGCTAGACATCGGATAAGGAAAGATCCGGTTAACCAATAGGAACAATAGGTCACGTGACATAGTGGATCACCTGGATCACTCAGATCACTTGAGTGAGCAGAGTGATTACAGCTATTCTTGCTCTGATAGCTATCTTGGCAAGAGCTATCCGAGCTATCCTCATGTATCTCAAGATGTATATAAACACACTCATTACCCTTAGGATCAAGGAGCTTATCTTGTTGATCACAATCAATTTCATCTTACTTACTTACTCTTTTACTACCTTTACTTATACTCAGTTACATGGTACGACTATAAGTTCACCCTTAAGTATACTTCTTCACAACGCATACCTTAAGCCTTCGCCTCTACCTGTAAGCCCTACTAGGTACTTATACTGTTTACCTTAGACCGCTGCTGTAGCTATTACTAATCATTATAGATATTCCTCTTGACATTATATCTTAACCTGTGATAGTGGAACTACCTTCTGACTTAGTGAACAAGCTCAGCAACACTATATAAGCCCCGACCTTACCTTATATCAGTGAGAAGCTTGCTAGGTTAGAGACTCGGTAGCAATTTTGTTAAATGAAAAAATTGCACAGATGCAGATAATTTTTGAGAATCTGAAGAAAGTTTAATGAACTATTAAAAATACTTGAAACAGTTTAATAAAATCTATCAGAAGTCAGTCAGTAAATAAAAATGAAAAAAATAATAATAATTGCCGAATATATTTATTTTATTCAGAGATTAAAAAACAGATCTGCCTTGACTTGATCAATGTCATTTGAGAAATTATCATCAAAGCAGATCTGCTTATTATTTCAGATTTTCTCAACTGATGAAGCATGACATTTCAATAATGACTTGAGAGCTGTGATTGACGATTGAATCATTGGAATCTCACCAGTCACAGTTTCAATTGAGGCCTCAGAGGAATCATGTCATTGAATCTTATGAATTTTCATTGCGAAAGATTTGACTGCAGCTGACACAGCACTTTGTAAAATGTTAATGTTCAAAGTGTTTGAATCAGTGACAATTAAATCTTCAGCTGTATTGATAGCTATCTGAGTCAATTCAATGATGTCTGCTGATATTTAACATAAGTTATTTTATATCTTGTAAAATATATATAGAATGATTATTTATCAGAATATAAATATGTTTCATCACTGAGCAGTGCTTGCATTTTTTATGTCGACCCTCAGCAGACTCACAATGATGATGAGGAGATGTTGCAAGATGTTGAATACAATAACAGCAATACACTGCTGCATTTCTTTTTAACATTTCAACAAAACTGTCTGCTTCCTCATCTTCATCAACATTATTAGATAATTCAAGTAACACATCAAGATTTTTGCTCAGCAGAAATGATGCTGATGTAATAGCAGAATGTAAAAATGCACTTTTTGAAATACTGCTATGATCAAACACCACATTTTGTTGTGACAATAAATTATCAGAGTTCATATAAAATTTTAGAATCTCATTTGCATTCTTGTAGATCTGCACATTAAGTATAAACCTCACAACAGTAGTTTGATATATGGCAAATCTTCATCAGAAAGCAGCATCTTTTGAAATTCATTAATTAAAAATTGTTCAGTTTCTTGAAAGTGCTCAGACATCTATAACTCATTAGTACTTACAACAAACTCAATCTGAAAAATTTACAACAGTACAACTTTTATTTGATATATGACAGATGTGACAGCATGTGCACTCATCATTCAGAAAACAAGAATATACTGAAAGATTTTGCAACCTCTTCAGACAATCCAAGCCAATGCTCTCAATGGCAGACAGCATATCATTCTTCATAGACTTCAAATCAACAATGAAAACAGCTGGTTCCGACATTCTATCATAATCTTAAATCAGTATCAACGTGTAATGCACTCGTTTATTATTTCCTTATTATTATATTATCTTTATTTATATCTTCGGCTATTCTTACCTCTTCTCATTATACTCTCGCTACCGCTATTTCTATATGTATATATATATGGATATATGTATTTCGCACATCTTCTTTCTCTTTCTTTTCCTCCTTAGCGATTAGCTACAACTACAACTACAACTATATTATCACTATAATTACTATTATTATTATGTTTTACTATTCACTCTTCACACTGTCATCACCCTTCACACAACGCCTTTCAAGGAAGGAGGAGAAGTAAAATCGATGAGAAAGAAGAATGAGAAAGAAAAACAGATGTTGATGATTGAAATCAATATTGTTATATCATCTAAAGATTGCAGCAACATAAAATTCAACTCAAAATAGAAAACATAACCATGCAATCAAAACTTTAAATGTCACAATAAAAATCACATGGGAAGATATAGCGTACTTTGCTTGATAAATTGACATATTCTCTTTTAAATAAAAAATCATTGTTGGCGATGATGGTGATGATCTCGTTAGGATACGATTTTTGGTGTAAAGGTTAAAGGAAAGAGGTTTAGAAATTGTGTATAAATTGTAATTGAACTGCAATAACACTGAAGCTGGAGAAACATTCTTCTGAGATAATATTGCTTCAGAATTAACCTTCACAATTAATCCAGTTCTATTCTATGAACTTTATACAATATCAACTACACAGTATATATCACAAACTTCACATATTGCAATAAGAAGCTCTGAAGACCAGGTCTTTGAAAAAGGAAGATAATTGTAATAGATACAATAGAGATATCTATATTAGAAAACAGATATGTGGTGATAAATATATAGTGATAGAAAGGCATAGAACAATTGTAGTGTGGTGACAACATTGTCTACATAATACTCACTGATATCCATAGATTTTAGAAGATCAATGATTAGCTTTGAATAATAGAGATTGCTACCTTCTTAATATTCTTTGTGCGTACTTCACACTACTCTTGTAATTACTTTTATAGCCTATCTCTTACAGTTGTCAATTTTATACTGAATTATTGATTTGTCAATGTTTATATTCTTCATTGATTGATTATTGCTGCTTCATATTCTACTGCTGTTTCAGACTCTACTGCTGCTTCAGACTTTACTACTGTAGACTCTGACTCTATTACTCTATTTCATGTTCAATTCCATCAGCAGCTCTATTTTCAACTCTTTGAATTCTCAAGCCTTCTATCTTCCACTCAATCAAATTCAGATTTAAATCATCATTAAATTTCTCTGTCAAAACTTTGAACTTGTGCCTGATATCAGTATAAAAGAAAGAGAGCAGAGCAGAATAAGAGTAGAGCTTCAAGATCAAGATATGATTGTGCTGTATGTAATAATATTCCTCTCTGTCTGAAAAGCTGGTGTTGGCAAAAGTTCCATTCTATATCTTAATTAGGGCTAGATCAAATAGATTACATAGATTACACAAAAACACACTAATACATCCGATCTATCATATAATCCAGTAGATTTCGCGTTTTTAATACACCAACGTACACGCTAAAAAACGGCGCTAATTGTGCCTCGCGGCCAGACGAGGGGATAGAGGTAGATTTGCAGATTTCGCGGCTAAGCCACGTGATTTTACCTTAATTTGCCGCCGAAATATGGAAACAACCTTTTAGTTAGCCCCGGTCCATGATGAATGAAGCCGAAGAATATCATAAATTTGCAAATATAATTAGATAAGCCGCTTCAGGCTTTGCTCGACAGCGGACATGTCGTCCCTCCTTCAAAAGAGTTTTGAGACAGAACAACGTGACAAGAATGGGAGCGACAACGAGGAGGACTACATGTCTATGACCATTGTCGAGCCGCCTGAGCCTCATAGACGCAAAGAACCATACAGTGAAATGCGACGCCGGAAGCAGAGAGAGGTGTGTGAACTCTTCCAGTCAGCAGATTTAAATGCCTCTACATGCTTATCTACAAGTGCCCTTGCTCATGTACTGTGGTGCAATTGTCATTTTTGGCTACAGCGAACAACAACACATCGCTCTCCCGTAGACATGTCCTGATGAATTTACTGACAACGAATCCGCGCCCTAATTTGCAGGCCGAAGCTAAGTCTCGCGTCCCTTCGAAATCGGAGATAGCTGCAGCAGAAGCTGCTCGAAGGGAAGCTGCACTCTCCACCAGTTCACTCGATCCTTCGAATAAAGGGTTTCAGATGATGGCGAAACTTGGCTTTAAACCCGGGACTGCGCTTGGAAAGGACCGTTCGTCTCAATACCCGTCCGGTGTTGATGAATGGAATCGACGGCTAACAGAGCCACTAAACGTGGTGGTTAAGGAGGATCGAGGAGGCATTGGAATGGACAGTGAGAAAAAGAGAAAGATTAGGGAGCAAGCCGAGCTAGAGGTGAAAAGAGTCAAAGCTGAGGAAGGCGATTTTAGAGAGCGGGTCAGACGTGAAAGAGAAGAAAAGAGGACCGAAACCATATTCTACGCCGCGGCGAAAGTTGCCGAAAGACTAGATGCTGAGGAATCCGAGGAAGAAAGGGAGAAGCTAATGGACGGGCAAGATGAGAGAGGAGATTCGCCCAAGAAGACGAATGCGCAAAAGAAACCGAAATCCGATTCTACGCCGCCATCCCCACCTGCCGACTCACGCAGCGCGAAGCGACAGACGAAGTCAAACTCTCAAATCAACATACTCTATCGCGGCTTAGTTCGCGCTCGTGAAGAGAACTTGCGTAGCCAGCAAGCTCGCCGTGGCCTTTACGACTCACTTGCTACTAGAGACCTGGCACTCATACCAAACCCGGAAAATCTTCCAACATATCGAGATACTGATCTGGATGCAGATGACAAACTTGCACTAGGCCAAACAGCAGAAGGCGATATTGTTGAGGTTGAATTAGATGAAAATGAAAATGAAGACGAAGATGAAGAGCTGAGAGAGTTCAATGCGCTAAGCGCTCAGGAACGTCTATCCAGAGTAGTGTTGTACCTGCGCGAGAAGTATCGGTACTGCTTCTGGTGCAAATATCGCTACGAGACTGATGAAATGGAAGGTTGTCCAGGTTTAACTGAAGATGATCATGACTGATATTCTTAGTACATGATATCTTGATGCGCACTCTTGTCACACTTTCCTAGGTTATGACTTGATTACGAACGTGTTCAAAAGTTGCTTGTGTCTCCATTACCTACCCTTGGATGGTAGCACCTAGATGGATCCAGCCGAGAAGACAGCACTATGATGTCTCTTCCTCTTTGCTGTTGGATGACATATGTGGATGGTACGGCACTCTTGATAACCGCCCCGGTTAATTTCTGTTCGGTTTCTCCTTAGAATACCGGATTCTAACACGTTCTCAGAAAGTTAATCAATATCCTCAGCGACCGCATAGGTGACCCACTCGGAGCGTTTGTTCCCCCTTCATTTTAAGCGTGCTCCAGAGGCAGTGGG